TAATTCCCGGTACCTGGCACAGTGCCTGTCATATATTTTTGCATGAGCAAAAATGTAATAGATTTAGCATCAGCTTGGTCATGTTTCTTTAAAAGGACCTTATATAATTTCCTATTACCTATCATTGTGCTTCTGGTAAGTAATTTTGAAGATAACTACTTTTCTTTCCTAACGCCTGTAAAACACTAGATGTTTTGATTGAGTGTGAGACCATACTATAAGCACGCAACTAAGGTCATCACTTGAATCAGCCAAGATCTGGAATTGTGCATCTGACTTGACTTGGAATCAGTGATATCTCCCAGGGCAAGTGATTGGAATGACTAGAATTTTCCAGAACAGATTTGTAGCCAATAGGCAAAAGTAACAGAGACTGTTGCAGTTTCTCTGATAAATAACTCACAGACCAGTTCAGGGACTTTTCAGCATAATAGACATTATTATATCTATTATATAAAAAACACAGCTCCTCCACCTCCAGCCAAGGAATTGCCAGATGCTTTGGAAGGAGGTGCTGTCCCTCTAGCTTATTGCCTTCTGGCCAGCACTGAATCTATGCAGGCAAAAACCCTCGCAGAAGAAAGAGAAGTTGGAGGGAAGCAATTGCCTCAAAGCCAGGGAGTTGATTCTCAGAGCGCAAGCCAGGGATCCCTAGCCTCAGAGTCTGTTCACACACTGATTCCTGAAGCCCATGCCAGGCCTACTGAGTCAGAATCTCTGGGGGTGGTATCGTGGGATCCAAATTTTTAGCAATATTGATTTTAACGATATCTAATGCACCTTGAAGTTTGAGGACATGTACTTTTTCCTTACAGGTGATTTTATGTAGAGGGTTCAACTGACAAGAATGTCCTTCATGCCCTTACCATTGTCCCCACCCTGTTGGGGCGCCCAGTGCTTTACTTACCAGTCCTCTCTGCCCTCAGGCAGGAGCAGGTGCCCTGGCTTTGGACTCAGGGGATCTGCCAAACATTTTCCACTGTCCCTGAACTTCCTGTTCTTCCCAGAAACCTTGGCATAGGCAAAGGACAGTCAGGGAATGGCACAGGCATATGCCCAGTTGGAATAACTTGGAAGCAGACCCCATGTGCAGACTCTGAGTCAGCCCTCTCTACTGGGGAAAGGAGCAGGAAGTGCAGTGAGTCAGCGCTGCCAGTGACAGAGGGTGCTGGCCTGGGGCAGCCAGGAAGACAGGCCTCTGAAGCGTCTCTCCTGGCTTAGAGGATAGTGGCTTGGAGCCTTTGCCCTGCTGCCTAACACACAAACCCTATATTCCTGTGGGCACAAGCTCTACCTACCACTCCTTTTCTGCCTTTTGAGAAAACTCTTAGGAATTAATGAGAGCAAATGGGACCTTTTCACTGAGATAATCAGTGATTGTGTCATAGGACTCTTGGAAAGGCTTTCACCTCATCATAGCTCCTCCATCAGTTCTCTTCTCCCTTCATCCACTTCAAACCAACCAACCAAAAAGTTTAAGAACAAAGCTTGTTATGTCCAAGCAGGTTGAATTCAATCCCCTATATAGCAGCCTCCCATCAGACTGCTTCGCCAAAGCCCTTCTTTGTAATTCGGGAACCTCAAGCTGAAACCTCGAATCTACCCTTTCCTAATTGTTGCTGATTTGCTATCGGTAATGAGTTGGCGGTTGCCAAAGCCCTTTGTCCCAGGAGTGAGAAAAAGTGTTTAAAAAATAAGCATCCCAGAAAAGACGCAGTACTTCTCAAAGCTTGGGATATTAAAAAAAACAACACAAGAGCATGTTTCACTGCAGATTCCTAGGCATTACGTCCAAAGGTTTCTGTTAGGTTCTATAATAACTCAGTGGGCCTGAAGTGGGTGGGACACAGGAACATACATTTTAAATAAGTAAACTCAATTTATTCAAGATGTAGAGGGCCTGTGGTTCTGTGGATCATACCTAGAGACATTAGTTTAAATGTACATCCAGGAGTGAAGGACTCATTCTGAGATTCCCTTGGAATGGTAGACATATTGGTGGTGGAAGAGATAGAAGTATTCCAGTATTTCACACGCCTCCGAAAGGGAAAAGTCTGAATGCGAGTACATGGCAGACATCTGTACAGGTTTGAGGGAGTGGGCCTGGGTGTTCTGAAAAATACGTCCAAAGGAAATGAAATCACATCATTTTCTTATTGGCCTCCCTTTATCTAGTTGCACCTCAGACCTGAGCGCAGCTCAGTCCTCTGAGCTCATGTCTGACCAGAGGCCCCAGAGGCCTCTCCATTGCCAGCCAACCTGGCTTCTTCCTGGCATGCTTTTAATGTGAAGGTGACTCTAAGAAGATGAGATTTGCTTTGAGGATTGGACCTGGCATCTCATTCCTGTCAGAATGCACTCTCTTCGTTTCAAGGATGCGTCAGAACTAGAGAAATATCACCTCTGTTCATCCAAGTAAACTTTAGCTTATCAACTTGGAATGGGTCATACGTTTCTTGTTTGTTTTTAGGTCTTTCTTAGAGGTGGTAATTCTTAATATAGTTGATCCTGGTGACATTAAGATAATTAAGTTGTCTAGTAGTACTTTTTAGCTAGGTCATTCTGAAACAGTATTCTACTTTCATATTTGGAGGTAGGGTAGCAATTAATTTTTTTAAAGTTTCTACCGATTTTACATTATCATATATCTGTGCATTTGCCAGGTCTTCAGACCCTCCCCCTGAATCCTTAGCCAACTCCCGGCACCCATTACTTTCTTACATCTCACTCGGTATCTCCAACAGTATCATCTACACCCCTTCTTCCTTATTCCCACCTTGACATTCACAACCTCTTGATCAAAGTAGATCAAAAAGACCTGGGATACTATATTAATAACAAATCTTCTAAAGTGGCTAGAGTGCTATGTTATGCAGTTGTTCGAGATATAATTTCATTACAATGGCAAGAAATCATGCAGCACTTACACTTACTGTGTGCCAGGAATGTTCCAAACACTTTGTAAATACTAACTTGTTTAATACTTATAACAAGCCTATGGATATATGAGGTAGGTGCTATTGTAAGTTACTATAAGTCTATTTTATGGATGAGGAAACTGAGGAACAGAATGGTTAACTAACTCAGACAAGGTCATATAGCTAGTAAGTTGTGCAGTCAGGCTTCAAACCCTTACTCTGTGTTCTTAATCATTGTGAAAGTTGGTAATAGAATTGGGTCATGCCTGTCATACCTAACTAAAACAGAGTCAAGAAGCCAGCAGGAAAAAGCAGTCGAGACACCATGTAATTCTCTGCAGGCCTGGCTGCTGAAACTGTCTGCTATAACCTGAAACCAGTTTTATAGTTGCTAAAATGATCTGGTGCAACTTGAAGACAATTGTACCCACCTCCATCACTCGCCAATCAAAACTTGCCAGCACCTCAGAAACTTATTAGTGCCAATGAACTTCTTCAAATAGCAATATGCAACATTTCTCTCTTTTTAGAAAACCTCCAACCTTCTCTTTGTATTTTGGACATAGTGAATACCATCTGGTCTGCGTGTATGCCTCAAACTGGAATTCTTTCTTCTCAAATAAAACGTGAAATATAGACATTCATCTCTACATTTTTATTTTGACTTTAGTAGTCACTATCTATATTACCCATTTAAGAAGGCAAAACAAAAACAAAAACGAAAGCCAACAAAAACTCCAAAACAAAATATATCATCCGAAAATATCTATTTTCCAGGACATTTCAGAAAAGGAGACTAAATACTGCAAACTAATATGACACTGGACTCAATGTAAAGGCAGAATCACCTCATGGTTCTTATCCATATGTGCCAAGAATGATCTCATTTAATCCTCACCCTATTGAAGGCTGATTTAGTAGTTTCTTTGCTAAATATTTACATGCCAAAGGGAATCATCCGTTAACTATTGGCATCTACTTTGAGACTCGGGAGACAAGAGGTCCACACTGAAACAGCTTTTGACTGTTAACTCTGTGTCTGCCTAGATGAAAACAGACATTGCTGGTTCTTACCAGAATCGATTAGAAAGTATTAACTTAGGAGTTTGGAGCCTAAATTTTAATTCTGGCTTTTCCACTGATCACCTGTGTAATTCAGGGCAGGTTGTAACCTTTCTGAATCTATTTTCTACCTTTTTCATGTTTTCTTGAGGTCCAAATGAAATAGCTGTAAAAGAAACTATAAAGTGCTGGAAAACTGTAAATTAATATGACAGATTTTTTGGTATTTTGTATTATTATTTTTTGGGGGACCGATGAGGACCTTGTGGTCCAGGCTGGAGTGCAATGGTTGCTCACTGCAACCTTCACCTCCTAGGTTCAAGCAATTCTCCTGCCTCAGCCTTGCCAGTAGCTGGAATTATAGGCATGCCACCATGCCCAGCTAATTATTGTATTTTTAGTAGAGACGGGATTTCACCATGTTGGCCAGACTGGTCTCGAACTCCTGACCTCAGATGATCCACCTTCTTGGGCCTCCCAAAATACTGAGATTACAGGCGCGAGCCCCCGTGCCCAGCCAGATTGTTTAAATAAATATATTAGTTATTATGTGTACCTTAAGGCAATGTGACTACTTACCACTTTCCCTCCCTGACCTCTGAAGTAAACTTGACGGCAGGAATCATGTCTTATTCATCTTTGCCTCTTAGCTGGAGTGCAGTGGTGCAATCTTGGGTCACTGCAACCTCTGCCTCAGCCTCCCGGGTTCAAGCGATTCTCGTCCCTCAGCCACCCCGGTAGCTGGGATTATAGGCACATGCCACCACAACTGGCTAATTTTTTCTAATTTTAGTAGAGATGGGGTTTCGCCATGTTGGCCAGGTTGGTGTCAAACTCCTGACCTCAGGTGGTTCACCCACCTCGACCTTCCAGAGTACTGCGATTACAGGTGCGAGCCACCGTGTCCGACCAATAAACATTTCTTGAGTGAATAAACAAACATAAGGGATTTTCAAAGGAATTCTGGAGGTTCTATCTCAGCTGAGAAGCGCCCATGGAAGCAAAAGCCATTCGTAGTACCTGCTTCAACCACGTGGTCCATTGTGGGAAACCTTTTGTACACAGCAGTGCTCACCGAGCGGAAGATGAGCAGGGAGGTGAGATTGACATAGCGCATCAGCGTCCTTCTCAGCAGGCGCCCGTGCTCGTCCCTTCCGTGAACACTGCTGGAGATGAGGAACATCAGCCTGTCTGGCCAGGGCAGATTCACAAACTGGTTCCACCATCGGTTCACTACCAGAGTAACATAAAACCCTGCAGAATAATAGGAAATTATAAAGCAGTTTCTTACAGCAGACACTGATGCTTTTAGCCGAATTTTAGCCTTTTTAGACGTTGGGGGTCAAAAATATGTTATTATCCATATCTTCTGATTTTGCGTTCTAGGAAAAAAATGTCATTTGTGCCTGACAATGCCTAGGCACCCTGTTAAGTGTGTATTAGATCTCAAATATTGACTGCAAAATGGAGAGTTAGTGAAGAGAAAGCTTAAATGTCCAATAGCAGATTATGTCCTCAAACTTGTTTGGTGTTAATTTAGCAAAAGCAGCCCTGAAGGCAAACCTTATGGATGATTCTGGTTCTATTGCAAGCAGCAGCTTTTCAGGCATGCCTCTCAGCTTGGAAACACTCCCATGCAGAGTCATCGGTGTCATCCTAATGGAGACAGCTATGTGGCTGCAATCTGCGTGTGACCTATACTTACCAAGCACAAAGGTTACTGGAATTTGTTCAGCATATCTGTCACAGTAAATTGATAATTTTTCAAAGTAATGTTTTTGGGCTCCTGTAAGTAACAATCTGGAGCAAAAATAAAATGCACAGCCCTTTATGATATTATACTTCTGCACCTGCTTTGCAAGTGACATCAAGTGCAAATGATTAAGCACAAATAATCTGTTTTATTTTTGAAGGAGCAATAATTTTTATTTTCTTAAGCTGACGTGTCTCAAAAGCTTTTAAATTGCTTAATGTTTCAAGTGCTAACATCTTGTAAATGTGATTGGCCATTAAATAGTGGGATTAATTAATCATTATTTTATTTTAAAAACTTTATATTTTAAAAGTTTTATATAATTGATTCATTGGACTTAGAGCAAGGTAAGTTACAAAATAGTTCATTTTTGAATTATTCATCAGGAATACCTTTAAAAGAGTGTATTATTATGAATTAACGTTATTAAGTAATTATTAAATAATAACCCTCAATTTGACACCTTGATCTTCCTCCTGAATGTGCTACTTAGCACATTCTTGATTATCATGTGTTATGCTTCAAGGGATACTATACCTCATTTTAAAGCCCAGAATTGTTCGAAGTCTAAAACAAATTTAACAGTGAAAAATGAAAACTTTCATTATTAAATTTAGTCACTCTCTCAAAATTTGTATTATAGATCTAACCCAACCTGCCCCCAAAGCCCATTTTCTGGTATCATTAAACATAATTGCATTTAATGAGAACGTTATTGATTATAGAGAAGAGATTCAGAGTCTAAAGAAATGTTTTATGGCAAACTAATAATAACGACAAAAATATAGGAAGGAAAGCCAAACAGATGAATTCAAATAAATTGATGAGTGTAACTGTTTCAAAGGAAGAAGGAACCCAAGGAAAGATCCATTATAACAAGCACCAAAGGCTCATTTGGGTCCATAGAACTTTCATAAAGGAAGCAAAGGGATAATGAGATAACAGTAAGCAACCAATTGGATTGCAGATAAAGAGCTGTTGGGAGCTGGTCCTGACAAAGAAGGTATGTAGGGTACAGGGTGAGCTTGGAGTTCCTGCCTTAGCTTTGGAAGAGGTATTAGAATTACTGAAGTCAGGGAAAGCTGACAGGAGAGGTACCAGGTTATTGTAGAGGTCTATCAGGGTAATGCTGATGACAAACTACGGCCAGAATGGTTTCTGATGTTCAAATAGAAATGGTCAAAGAGCCTTTAAATGTGGAAAGCATGGACTTTTTTCAAGATCAGACAAAGCCAGATTTTAATCCCAGGTCTGACACAAATTTGGATTTTGAGAATATTTTTAAATGTCTCTGAGTCTCAGTTTTCTCATCTGTAAGTAGGGGTAGAAAGTCTATATGGGGTATTATAAAGATTAAATAACATAATATGTGTGTGTGTGTGTGTGTGTGTGTGTGTGTGTGTGTGTAAAACCACTTAACAAATTGTCTCATACTTAGTTAATAATGAAATGGTTTGTATAAATAATTGGGCAAAGAAAACATCTTTGGCTAATAGACGTAGAAATTTTAATAGCTAGAAAGTATTTCAAAAATTATTTTGTCAAATTCCTCCAAAAATAGAAATGTAATCAAAATAATGAATCTGGTTCCTCCTTATAATTTTTGTTAAGAATAATTATTTACTTATAATAGAGCTAATAAAGACAGAGAATAAAACTACGTCTGTATTTATCTACAGATACGTTTGACTTCCTTGAGAAACTCATCCTATAGCCCTTGGTATACCTTTGATTAGGATATAAAGATCTATTTTAATAAGGTGTTACAATTGAACTTTAGAAAATTAAGGATGACTTGAACTGATAATTTTTTAAATAAATATAAGCACTCTTTGCTTTAGAAGAAATATATGCATAAAATTTGGGGGGGTATAAGTATGATATTGGAACAAAAGTTGAGGCCCAAAGGAGCATTTCTAGCTACATTGCAACTGTGCTAAGGGCTATTCTATTCTATTTTTAGCAGCAATAGCTGCAATATATTTGCATGAGTAAAAATGAACTAATGAGATAATTATCATGAAACACCATTGTATCTTCCATCATTTCATATTCTGAAGGCTTAGGTGATACATACCTAAATTGCCAAAATAATATCATATTATATGATATGTCTGAAAAATTATGAGAGGTTTTTAATAAGATTTTCCCTCTAAAAATATTTTGTCAAAATATATACCAATGTGTACAATTGCTCAGAAGGGTTGTTTTGATGCACAGAAAAATATTTGTCTTTTAATAATTTTAATATTAATAATTGTCAGTCAACTCAATTAATATCCTTTTTTACCAAAGGAGATCCTATGGCTACAAGGAAGAATGTGAGAGCAATACAACACAAATTTGTTTATCTATATGCAGAAGAAAAATAACAAACTTACGTATGTAGAAAAAGGAAATACAGTCTCAAAAACCTTTAGTTTTCCTGTTTTAAGTTTTAGCGTCCTCCAGAGAATAAATTTATGCATTAAATTTTAATTAAAAAAGCTTTAAAAGCTCATAAAGCTCTCCTTTTATCATACCAATAGAATTTTATTAACACTATAATTTTTCATCATTAAACTATTTCTTGGACTTGATATTGCTCACATTTCCTGTCAATTTGACAGGCATATGTTGTGATGTTATAAAGAATAAGCACCTCTTTTTATGAACATAACATGCCCTCAACTCAGAAGATATAAATAAAATAAATTAGTCTACAGGAATTTCCTTTAGTCAAGGTACTGTTAAGGGTGGCAGGCATCATCCTGGGTCAGATATTTTCATTCCAGGCAAAAGGAAGGAAAGCTTTCACCTGAAATACACCAATCATGACCATGTTCATTATATAAGTACTGGCTATAAGTTGTCAAATCACAAACTATGAATGACAAGTGGATAGAAGCACCAATAATTATTTGCCTGTGGACTCTGCCCATTCAAAAATCTTTATGTAGTAAGGATCTAAGGAGAATCCTTCCATTTTATGCCTATTGCAACAGTCTTGAAGCACAGCTGGGGCTGGCATGAAGGCTACCTGAATCTTACAGTGAGAGTCTATTTTACATCCTAACAATGGTTAACTGTGGATTAAAATCTGTCCTGAAGGGAAGAAGACAAAAGAGAGGCTCATGAAAAAAAGGAGTTATATAATGCAGAGTCAGTGGAAATAAAAGGGTTGAGATTTTTGACACTGTATTTTTATACAATATTTGATTGCCATTTAAGAAGACATGCAAAGAAAAGTACCTGTACACCAAACTTATTGCTGTGTAAAGAACAGCAAAGACAATAAATTCCCTGTACAGTAGTTTGTAGATGCTGCCTCTCCACTTGAAGAGTAACCTATGAAATCCAAAAAAAGTTGCATTTGCTACTTTACTGGAGTAAGTGACAGTCATCTTGGATATTTTTTTCTAGAAGAGCAAGAAGACAAAACACAAGTAAAAAGCAATGTTTAAAATAGGGCATAAATCTGTATGTCTGTATATCAAGGAAACTCAAGTCAGCAACTAGTCAGCCATATCTTTTTTTTGTCTTTCTTAGTTTCTGTAATTTGAAACTTTCAGATAACTGTTATCTCAGTGCTAGATCATTTAGCAGAAAGCAGGAAGAAAGGAGTTTCTGGAAAGAGTAATATTAGACATCTTAAACTTGCCTTAACTGTTAAATGTTATTTTTAGATTATATAGCCATTGGTCAATATATATTTGAATGAACAAATGAGACAAACAAGGCCCTCGTGGGAATTTAATTGATGGGGCACTTTTGATGGGTTTGGTTGCATGTAGGTGTCTTGCTACTGGAGGTCCGATTGTTAGCACTCATTGCATTTCAAAAGGTAGCCAAAAAGTTGGGTCATAGTCATAAATAAGAATAGTGCACTTTCCCCATGAAAAGTTGTACAGAAATGCTCAGGGATGGTTCACATTCTATTTGGAGCTGAACAAAATAAGGTCATTATGACTCTTTCTACTTGAGTCCATTTCATGAATGTGGTTAGGATGAGCACTGGGCCCCAAAGCCTTGTTTTCAATGAATTCTTTGGAATTACACCACTTTCCACCGAGACATTAAATATTCACGGTTTGAAACAGACAGCGCAAAGCTAATCTTTGAAAATCCTGCTCAATTTCTGGCTAAGATAGAACATATGCAAATAAAATGAGATTTATTTAAAATCTTACTTTTCTCAAAAGGATCTATGTGGAGAGTCTTATAGAGCTACTTAGACTGAAATTACGAAGATTTTAGGTAGAATTGTACTAAATACAAAAAATAAATTCTACAGCAGATTTCTTTTGGGAAGTAACCTACACCACATATTTTATCACAAGAAAATTTTCTGTCTTTACTCATTGCTGGAAAAACAATTCAACTCTGATTTGCCCATTTTCCCTAAGGAAATGGAACTCTGGAGCTGCATTTACAGCATTTTCTAAAATCACAAACTTAGCTTTCAACATTACTGATTTTAATAAAGAAGCCAGGGCCTTTTGGCATAAGTAAGTGGCATTACGAAAGGATGGGACTCATGCCACAAAACCGGTTTTATTTTTCCATCTTTACCTTGTCTATTTGTCTAGTGTGAATACAGCCAAAATTGGGAGAGGAGCGTAATAAATTAAGCCCATTTCATAGTTTGTTCTCATGGACTCCAGTAGTTTTAAATAACAGTCCTTGAATAACTTTCTCTTCTTTCATTTAGTAGTTCACTCTTCTTTTTAAGATCTGCCAGGAAAATGAAAATCACAGCAAGTAGAGGTCAGAATTAAAATGCATAGGTTTACTCTGGGCACTAACCTATTTATTTGGTTTGGAGTCTCCACCAGGAAAGATAATCTTCAAATTTCGGGCTCCCCCTGAAGAGGCGCCTTCAGGCTGGTGCTGTGCTCCCGGTGTCACCCTTTGCCCATCCACAGTCAGATTTTCTTTCTGTTCTCTGGCCACTGAGAGGACCCAGAGTGTGACAAGTACAGGGGTTAAGTGTTTTTCCACTTGTGGAGGCCTGTTTATGCCAATTTACCCACTGATGACAGTTACAGCCAGGAACAAACAGAAGCGACAGCTGCTGATGCTGCTTTTTTCTAAGCTATAATTATAACTCCACCTGCCACCCCCAGTACCTCTTTGAATGAGAAGTTGGCAGTGACATGAGGGATGTTGGGCTGTTTGTCTGTTAGATTCATTTTGACTCCACCCTGGGATCAAGGAAGAAAGGTCCATTTGACCCTAAAGAGTTCAAAAAGAGGCCCCATTAGCCAAAAAAACAAACAAACAAACAAACAACTTTCTGTGCTTTAAATGAAGATTACATTCTTAAAGCTGGGTGGGATGTGGTGGCTCACACCTGTAATCCTAGCACTTTGGGAAGCCGAGGCAGGCGGCTCATCTGAAGTCAGGAGTTCAAGACCAGCTTGGCCAATATGGTGAAACCCCATCTGTACTAAAAATACAAAAATTAGCTGGGCCTGGTGGTGGGCTTCTGTAATCCCAGCTACTCAGGAGGTTGGGGCTGGAGAATCACTGGGACCCAGGAGGTAGAGGCTACAGTGAGCCGAGATCACCCCACTGCACTCTAACCTGGGCACCAGAGCAAGACTCTGGCTCATAAAAAAACAAAAAAAAATTTTATGAAGCCATAAACTGGGGCAGACAAGAATATAAACAGGATTTTTGCCCACTTGAGAGGTATTGAAAATGTTCTTCAATTCAAAGTACCAATTATGCGTTAGTGTGTGTATGTTAGAAGAGCACATAGAGAATCATGATATGTTGATGGCTTAGTATAGTGGGAAATAACACATGGATTCATCATATATATATATATACGTATATATATGCACATATTTTTTTTTAGATGGAGTCTTGCTCTGTCACCCAGGCTGGAGTGCCATGGCACGATCTCAACTCGCTGCAACCTCGCTTCTGGGGTTCAAGTGATTTTCCCGCCTCAGCCTCCCAAGTAGATGGGATTACAGGTGCACACCACACAACTGGCTAATTTTTTATATTTTTGGTATAAATGGGGTTTTACCATGTTGGCCAGGCTGGTCTTGAACTCCTGACCTCAAGTAATCCACCTGCCTTGGCCTTCCAAACTGCTGGGGTTACAGGCGTGAGCCACTGCACCCAGCCAGATTCATCACATTAGTTATTCTTTGATGGTTAGTTAGGAAATTTTAAAAATTATTCAATGTTTTCTCTTAGTTTGATTATGCCTACATATTTTCTTTCTTAAAAGAGAGAATTTGCCAGCATTCTTTAAGTAATAAAATAAATAATTGCTTGGGACTTTTCAAACTTTCTAAAGTAACTTGTGCACCCCTGAAACTTAACTTAAAGAAAATGTATTTTTGTGGAGAAAGATATAGAAAAAATGCTTATTCTAAAATTGAGGTTATGTAAAATTAACCTTTTTCTAAAGTATTCCATTTTATATGCATTTGGCTGGATTCTTTATCAAATTCTAGGTACCTTAGAGCAAAGCTAGGGTTGTAGGTGTCTTCTTAATTTCTTGCCCCACCCCTGCTCATAGTTCCAATATGGAGCCCTGTGAATAATGAATATTCAGTATGTATTTGCTGTTTGATTATCCCTTACCTTCACTATTATAATTCTGTTGTTATTTAAGGGAATTTGTGAACATTTAAAAAGCATATATACAATGTTGTACATCTTTTGTGTTGCCATGAAAGTGGTCTGATAGATCTGATGTTATATTTATTTATTTATTTAAAAAATTTATTTATTTATTTATTTTTTCCTCCATTTATTTATTTTATTGCATTTTAGGTTTTGGTGTACATGTGAAGATCATGTGAAATTGTTGCATAGGTACACACGTGGCAGTGTGATTTGCTGCCTTCCTCCCCATCACCTACATCTGGCATCTCTCCCCTTGCTATCTCTCCCCAGCTCCCCACCCCGCACTGTCCCTCCCCTATTTCCCCCCAACTGACCCCAGTGTGTAGTGCTCCCCTCCCTGTGTCCATGTGTTCTCATTGTTTAACACCCGCCTATGAGTGAGAACATGCCGTGTTTGATCTTCTGCCCTTCTGTCAGTTTGCTGAGAATGATGGTTTCCAGGTTCATCCATGTCCCTACAAAGGACCCAAACTCATCGTTTTTGATGGCTGCATAATATTCCCTGTTGTATATGTGCCACATTTTCCTTGTCCAGTCTATCGTCGATGGGCATTTGGGTTGGTTCCAGTTCTTTGCTATTGTAAACAGTGCTACAATGAACATTTGTGTGCACGTGTCCTTATAGTGGAATGATTTGTAATCCTTTGGATATATACCCAGTAATGGGATTGCTGGCTCAAATGGAATTTCTATTTCTAGGTCATTGAGGAATCGCCACACTGTCTTCCACAATGGTTGAACTAATTTACACTCCCACCAACAGTGCAAAAGTGTTCCTATTTCTCCACATCCTCTCCAGCATCTGTTGTCTCCAGATTTTTTAATGATTGCCATTCTATCTGGCGTGAGATGGTATCTCAATGTTGTTTTGATTTGCATTTCTCTGATGACCAGTGATGATGAGCATTTTTTCATATGTT